AAGTACGGCATGATGGGCGGCTGGGCGGTGGAGCCGTTGCCGGCGGCAGCTGCCGACCTTCCACCAAAGCTGCCATTCGGCTTTTCGTCCACTTCATCGGACCGATTTGCATCGTCACCGCCGTAGACGTCACCCTTGCAGTACTTTTTTATGCCCAGCGCCTGGTACTCTCGATCGAGGACGTCAGAAAGGACGATCACGTACCGCTTTGCCTCCTCCTTGCTCAGAGGCCGCGCCTTCAGCTGCTGCTGCTGTTCCGGTTTCAGATCATGATCAGCATTGGAGATGTGCTGGTAAAGGTCGGTCTGTTTAGAGAAGACTTTGTCACAGGATGGCAGGCCGCACTTGAAGGGCTTCTTGTCGGTCCCGTGATTTCGGTAGTGTTGCTGCAGAGAGGCCGCCAATTTGAAGGATTTGTTGCATCCAATGAGTGGACATTTGTACTTTTGTGGAATTTGTGGAACTTTTTCAATGGTGGTCGTGGAGACTGTGGAGTCCTCATTTTCAGACGAGCTAATTACTGNCAGTGGACATTTGTACTTTTGTGGAATTTGTGGAACTTTTTCAATGGTGGTCGTGGAGACTGTGGAATCCTCATTTTCAGACGAGCTATTTACTGCTACTTTGGTCTGTTTTCTCTTAGTGTACTTTCTCTTTGGCTTTTCGTTCGCTGTTTTTTCTACCTCTTCCTTTGTTTTTGGCTTTTTCACGACTGTCTTTGACGGCTTTTTCTTGACTTCCTTTTGCGGCTTTTTCTTAACTGTCTTTGGTGGTTTTTTCTTGGCTGCTTTAGGCGGCATTTTGTACCCTTTTCAGCTGCAAAAAAGTAATCTTAGTGGTTTGTTGTGTGTAATCGAAGTGAATCCATACCGTTTGGCAATGTAATCAGGCAAATTTGGCAGTTGCTTTTTTGTCTGGCTGTGTTTCTGTTGTTGACAAAAAAGCGCCGATGAGCACTTCGTCTGGACTTGCGCAGACTGGATTTCACAAGCACTAACTTCTGGTCCACTAACTTGGCAGCAAAGTGCACTTTTCAGTGATCCTGATGAACTTTTTGTTCAGTTAAGAATCATATTTTTGTAAATTAAACTTCTTAAAAGCAAAAGAATGAAATTTTATTGTGTATTATGCGATCACCAGTTTGGCGGTCAGAAGTGAATGACATGGAAGTGGAATTGATCAGCAGTAGAATTGTGTAAACTATGTAAAAGTATGAAAAAAAGTTAAGAAGAAGAAGGAATAAAGCTCAAATAGAAAAAGAGAGAATC